CATATTGTGCTGAATTTCTCAATTGCGCGCGCATGTCAGCGTCATTTCGTAGATGGCACCACGATAATAACATGCCGCGCGAATGGTATACCATATACCTGATACATCCGGCGCTGGTTTGGATGATTTGTTATTTTGTTTACCTGCCGATACTCGGAAGGCCTATCTGCTTGTCGTTCTGTCTGGCATAAAATATCTCGATATTGCCAAGTTCGATGTATGTATTCGTATGTATAATTCTATAAAAATAAGAAATTCTCCGTAAAGATACTCGAACCTATTTCATTTTACGAATGATGATAAGATTATCCGAATTAGTATCCCCGAATGTATCAAGATATTTATCATTCGATAGTCGTATGTAACTCGTTGAATTATATCGAAAATATTTATGTTCGTATAAAACCAGAGTCAACAAAACATTTAAATTATTTTTAAAAATTTCAAAAATTGTTATTCTCTTTTCACGTAATCATTCGTAAAAGTAATATATAAAGAAAACATAATAGATGTAATTAAGATTAATAAGAAGACATAATAGACGTAATAGATAGAAATAATAATGGAAGTTTAAGAAAACTGTACACACTTTACACTTCTGTATACCAAAGCAATGACCGCTCAGATTGGGCTCTCCTAGACAGCTTAAGTGCCTTCACCTTCATCCGGAGATATGCCAGATATTTCCGGGACTACGCAAAATCTCACCTTGAAACCCTATCATGTTTCATATAGTATACATCAACAGATTTAACATCATGCACGATAATTCCCGCGGAGTCAAGCGATAAACTGCCGGAGATATATTGCCGGGGGTTTCCTTTCGCAGTTAATCGACGACATCAAGGGATTACGGTACGCTTCAAACCGGGAACAGGCTCACCCTGATCCTAAGTACGTCCGGTCATGGTGGAATGGAAGCTTGCTTGGATAAATGACCGCTAAATACGGTATGCGGGGGGGAAACGTGCGGCTGACATGGCTGCAGTCGCATTGGCGTAAATGTATCAAGTATATATATGTATATCGAGACAAAGAGAGAACAACAAGAAGAGAGAAAACGGTAAGGTTTTTTTTTATAATTTTTTTATTTTAGAAAATAGTTTTAATTTTAGATAAAATTTCTAGAAACAATGTATATGGCGTATCGTTCGATCTGGTTGACCTTGATCAAGACTATCGGAAAACACCGGCTGGCAGTCGTGTTTGTAACGCACGTATAAGAATCATCAACGAGCATGAAGCAACCTCTGGAGGGAATCGGCGAGTTGGATTTACAAGTAAATAGATTGTACTTACGATGGTCGCAAGAACGAAATAAAATTTCGTTAACGGGAGTCCTGTTAATCGACGACACGGTGGTCCTTAAATGGAGAACCGTTCTTCATGGACGCGACGTGCGCCGACATGGGCAATCAAAAGTGCTCGGTGCACCTTCAGGACTGCTGCCTCGTCTCCTTTAGTCCGCGATCGAAGTACGTATGCCAATCGATCGATCCCAATCGCTGGAGAACGGGTTTCTTTGCGGTAACGCAAAGGCTAACCGTCGAGAAACCCGCGGGATTAAGAATGCGTAGAATATCAATCGAATTCGTGAGTCATGCTTTGGTGGTCACCTATTCGGTTCCTACAATTGGTGAATCATATATGCATTCGTTGAAGAGAGGGTGTGAATTCTTGACATTTCTTTCCAACTATCCGGAAATAAATTCCAGTATCTTGTGATATCGCGCGTCAAAAAAAGATATTCCGCGGGAAAAAGATATTCCGAGAGACAAAGCAACCCGCTTACTGTTACGTGGGAATCCTCGGCAATTGTTGAAATTGTTTGATGCGTCACGACGCGCGTATTATCACAGAAGACGATTCTGATGCAACTTGCAATTGCGGAGGAAGAACTCACTTTCCAGAGGCACGTGACAGTGGTCGCTTTTTAGATTTTAGAGAGGGCTTTCGAGATCTCGGACTGTGCAAAATTATGTCGAAAATTCGTGACATCGATTGTTGTCTCATTAAAACTACCACTTAGTATAGACGGTGATATCTTAATCGCGCGAGCTATAAAAAGTTATGATATTATCTTTTTTTTTCCTTTATGGCATTCTACAAACGCACGAATTCTTAATTGTAATATAAAATAATACAATATGTTCCTTTTTTCAGGTACAAATTGAGATCAGCGATGGCATAGGACCAACGGTTGGTAAAGTTAGTGTATCTGTCTGATGGGGGTCAACGTACAGGGGCTGTATTCTCGAAAAATATTGCATTCGAAGATATACAAAAATATTAAAATATACGTTACATATATTATAGATAATATATATTTTTGTAAACACAATATTTTTCGAGAATAAAGCACTTATATTAGTCGAGCCTGTCGTGTACTTTTCGTTCCGCGATCTCGATCACGATACATATTAAAAACAAAATATAAAATGTGAACTGATGTAAACTTAAATGATTACATTTAGTGCAAAAAAGCAGCTTTATAATTATAAGATTTTTCAGTATAACTGTTTATATATTTTTATTCAATTTATATATTTTTTTATCCAGTGAGGAATTATAAAGGCAAGAACCAATAACAATCTTACAATTGCAAAGCTGCTTTTTCTTCTAAACGCAGCCATTGATAAAGCTAAACATGGATAAGATCATGTCTCGTAGTTTGGGAAATTGTAAGGCTGTTCTGCTTATTTAAGAGCAATAGTAATAATAATAATCGGCATTTAATTAATAAATCATTTTGGCACAGTACAGAATAGCATCGATCTCCATTCTCTACAAAACTATCGAAGTGTGCATCATGCGTTTCTCAGCAGCCTATTTTGTCGCAAAAATACAAAAGATTTAATTAAAATTATCGCGTTGTATAAAAAAAAAATAGTAGTTTCGATCGCCGTTCGCGTGATCGCATGGGTACACGAGAAAAAGTGAATTCTTACATCTCAGGGAGCACATGGACGTCATACTCGTCGAACGCGTTGCGGGAATAAAATATACAAATTCATTTCCTTCGTAACGATAATTTCACGTTACGTATACATTAGCATTACGCTGCACCGTGACGTCATAGCTTGAATTAATCGTGCTCTGTATTTCAGCGCAACAATTGGCACAATTTCGCGTAAAACGAATCCCGGTGCGATTCGAGAAACGTCCGCTCCTCGCCTTTTCTTTCCCTCCCCTCCCCCCTCCCCCTCCCCTCCCTTCAAGCTTCGCACAACGAGCAACGGCAACCCTCCTAACGTGACGTAACGCATATACGCATATACGCCGTTTTTATTTATCTTTCGTCAGCTAACTCTCGTTGGCTAAGTTTAATAAAAAATAAAGACCGAGCTTCTCACACACATTTCTACCTCCAGCGTAGACGTAAGCGCTACAGAGACCGCGTCGATTTTAAATTAAAACAGCGTGTATACATAAAGCATATCGATATAAGAGCATGTCGCTTATCCAATAATTAATGTTAACTTGTTTAATATCAAGACTGACAACTTGCGGGAGATGACTTTAAATAATCATGACGATAGCAAGTCCGTAATAAACGTAATATGGGTGAGGAAGGGGGTGGAGGAGAGTTCAGGGGGTAGCACTAAAAATTATATCGTAACGTATAAATAATTAATAATAATCGCCAGTGTATAATGCTGACGTCCATCGCCAGAATAAGATCCATTCTAGCCGCTTAACTGTACGCGCTTATTTACAAAACGTTCGTGTACGCGAGCATAGGCGACGTCGACGTCAGCTGACTACGTATGTATTCGTACTGTCGAGTACAAGGCACCTACGGTAAACGGTGAATCAACGCCTCCACGCGAGACACGCACGACGTCGAATAACATTTCATCATGACATAGCGAGCGGAACCTGCTAAGCCTTCGCGGCTGTAACAATTGAGCCTAAATCGAACGTGAACGATATCCTCTGACTTGCTTAGGTGCTCAAGTTCTCTCGAACCACGATATCGGCACGTATAGATTTTCTTATTGGCTTTGTTATAAGCAGCCGCTAGATTATATTGCTTTGAAGACGATATTCGGTACCACGTTCGTAGTGGTAAGGGTGACTTCGACCAAAATCCAAGTTTATCGATGAACAACCACTTGGTTGTAAGATTATTTTGTTTCGAACAAGATTACAGTAGAACTCCGTTTATTCAAATATCGAAGGCCAAGACTGTTCAATTACCGGTTTGGATAATAAAGGTTTACTAACTCTTCCGTTTAGAAAACTGAAGCCAAGCACGTCGAGCTTCTATTATCTAGATTCTGGAAACCTTTTAATCAGAGATTGGCCAGTAAGTCCCGGAACACAACAGGTGTAGTAAATTTTAAGCCTTAAGAAACTGATCGATTATAGTCAAAGAAGAATAATCGACTATGATTGGCCAATTTCTTAAAGCTCATACCTATTGTGTTGACGAAAAATATTGAAATATATATACCAATCAAAAGTGACCGTCATATAGCCAGTCTCTGATTAGAGAATCTTTATTAATATCCGAACTACAGCACCGTAGTTTGGACGATAGAAACTCAACTATGAATTCAGAACTGAGTATGATTTGTTGGTATAAATGGAATTCTACTATTAATTTCTTAATACATAGAAGGCAAGATTAGAGATCAGCAGTGACGAATTTTTCACCTAGAAATTTTGCTACGAGCAGTTCTACCAATCAAATCGATTAAATTGATCAGAGTTTTCGGTCGAAGTTGCTCTTTTTCTCTTCGCGTGCGGGAGTATCTTACTATTCAGTTTCACCTTCGTGCTTCTCAAAACTTATACAAAATAGTGTTACACAAAGGAATACGATTAAATAAGTATATATGGCAAATCTTTCGTACCGGCTTCGTTGAAACTAATGTTTGAAAAAATTTGGAAAAACTATAATATTTATAGAGAACTGCCAATTGTAATTAATACGAAATTAAAAAAAATCAATTTTGAATTAGTCAGGGAAATTGTCGTTGATAAAATTTTGGAAATACTAATCTTGATCGACATATATTACATTTCTTTTATATTACATGCTTTGCACCTTGCAAATGTCGCAAACTTAAATTTCGTAATAACAATTACGAAAGAACGTAAAAATTGATTTGTCTTAGAATCCGGTGCAAGATCCAATTTAAAAAGATTATTCCTAATAATAAATACAGTTTAAATATTACGTACTTATAATAACAAGTGTTATCGCATTAACAAATATTACCGTTTGTTCATTCGTGGAGTAACGGCACAACTCGCCGCGTTCCTCATCGAACGGTTTCATACGAGATTTCATATAAGTATGCAGCGTACAACATAAATATATTTTTACGTTAGAACGATAATTTAGGTTTACCACACAACAATCGCGAGATAAAGAGCAATAAAGGTGACGGAGATGCGCAGCGATACCAATTATCAAAACGATAATTATAAGCGGGTAATAGTAGTAATACTATCAATAATAGAAATGATAGTAATAATAGTAATAAAATAACATGTATAATAAATTGAAGTTATTAGTATTAGCAATCGTATAATAACTGATGCCGCCGTCGGAGGTTTTTCAGTCTTCTTTGGTTGCTGGGTAACTCGCAGAGGTTAGTGGATACAGCAGGGCACTGTAGTACCGCCGCGACTAAAAACTCGTCTCTTTCCGAGTTTTCACCACCTCTTTCCCACCCTTCTCCCGTACCCCTTCGCCCCACCGTAATCGTGTTCGGTCGTAACGTGGTTGTCGCTCTTGGCGAGGAGAAGGGCGCTTAGCTTACGTTCCTCTCTTTCCTTTTTTTTTAATCCGTTGATGGGGATCAATTGATTAATAAGCGTCTGGCTGCGGGCGCTGGAGGCTCCGGAGCGAACGACCGAGCGGTCTCGTTGCGGACAAGAATAGCAATATCCGATCGTGTTGTCCGTACCGCGTCCACGTCCTTCCTTTTATTGCACTAGGTTATTTCTCGCGACTTCCTGTACGCGCCACCGCGACAACGACGAACTTTGAGCGACGAGCACGCATTCGTCATCATTTAATTAATTAGTAATTGCTCTTGTCACCTCGAATATCACTCCTAAAAATTAAAATGACAAAGTTTACACAGGCATTTCTCGCTCATTTTGTCGATCGAAACGCGAAGTAGTAAACGTATAGTCGATCTCTCTCTCTCTCTCTCTCTCTCGCTTTGTAATATCTTATTCTTCCGCTGTTCCCTCTTTCCTCGCCTACTTAATTCAGCTCAGATGAACACCTGTAATCCAGCTCTCGCGATTTTAACGTGCGCGTGTACAGAACCGTTCGGTGGTTTAATGTGGTTTCCGTCTCGAGAGCCCCTCGGGTCGTACGATACACGAAGAGAGCGATCGCGTGACGGATAATGGTCGGCCGCGACTGATTTCGTCATTCGATGATGACTATAGTGCAGGCGGCGGAGCTTCCTCGTGGACCGGGGCAGACTCTTCTCCGGAACTACCAGGCTCAGCTCAGCTCGCGTGGCGTCATAGAGTGTCGCCGTGCCGGATGATGATTGTTGCGATGATGACGCCTCGCGCGATGCTCGCACTGCGCCGTACAGCAGTCATCGGCGTCCGCCACGTGCTCGCCGCGCTTCATCTGATTCGCGATCGAGTTACAGAGTGGCCGTGGACACCGTTTCCTGTCGCACCTGACCTCGCCGTTCTGAAAGAAGCAGAGGGAGCGGTCCTATTATGATCACCATTTAGGCATTTACGCGAAATCCGGAAGGAATGCAGCCAGCAAATAGCCAGTCATGACGGCGCGCGGAAGCGGATCATTCCATAGAACAGATCAGCGATCCGCTTCGCATCGTTCATTCTATTCTACTCTATGATGTAACGTAAGATGATGCATATATATGTATATCCATTCTTTGTATATATATTGTATCATTAAAAGTATACGAATGAATATCAACATAATATATTGCTGGCAATTATTGCAATACTGCTGGAATGAATTATGCTACATGGCTTACTATGAAAATAAAGAAAGTGTTGAAAAACTAAATATTTCATCAGTAATAAAAAACATAATCATATTAATAAGTAAAAAAATTTCAGAATCTCTTTTACATAAAAGAATATAATATTAATTTAAAAAACAGGAATGGACAATAACTTTTAGTGTTAAGGAACACCGCTGAAAACCGTGAAAACAACTCAGGCTGTACTTAACAGACTTAGCTAAAAAAAGAAGAAATGTATATATGTAGTAAGACGAGATATTTATCCATCAATAAAAAAAAAACCGAATGCGAGTAATAAAAACGAAATGCGAGAGAAGAACCGGTGCAACGAGCTCTGTTGGAATACAAAATCCATTTCTCACGATTGAGACGATTATTTTTCGCTCCGTCTTGTGACGTCGCGACGCGACGCGACGCAAGCCAGCCGAGGCCGCGGCGTTCCATTTTCATCGTAATGGATGGACCCTATAATGGTCGGGCCAGACGAACGAGTCCGGTTAAAGGTTTTCGCCTTAAAGATTTCTCGTCGTGTCCATGTCTGGATATCGCAACGGGACGGCCGCGCAATGACCGCCTAACGAGTGAATTGAGTGTAACGACCAAAAGTAAAGTGAGATCTAAGACTTCTCTCTGCTTGACAACAAGATGCAATCGCGAGATTCACTTCATCTCGTTCAAATAAGTTAATCGGACACGCTTGATAAAGAGAGATCGTAAAAATAGCGATTTATTCATCAATCCAGTCACTTGTTCTGGAACGATTCGCGACCAGTTCGAGAATTACGGTAATAATTAATGCGCGTTTGTTCACTTTTCATTTTTCTCACGACTTCAGCGATCAAGATTTCTCACCTTGCAGCGGCACTTGACACACTTTACCTCGCCGTGCGAGTGTATCCGGGGATGCCACTCCATACCATTTTCATAGGGTCCACCGAAAGGATACTTGCAGCCACCGGAAGAGAGTATCTCTTCCGCGGTGCGCCGCGTCGAAGGTAAAGCCTGATCTCTCGGTAGAGTATCTCTTCGTATGGTATCGCTCGATGTGGTGGTGGTTACATTGCTAAGGCTCGTTGATGATGGGCACTGTCTACAGCAGGCTTTCTTGTCTAGCCTGACGGCGATCTTCTCGTCGCACTCAAGCGGCGGACACTGTACCAACGGGCATTTTACCTCCAGCGTGACAGCCTGTGAGACAAATGGATTTCTGATGTAAATTGCGAAGGTGACCACTCGTACCTAATCGCGTCCCGTACGTAACACACACGTTTCACGCGTTTTTGCTCACTTTATCGTGTGTCGCATTTACTATTTATTACTGGAGTCTGTGGCAATTTAGGGCTGCGCTTCGATTCACATTTATAGTGTTCATAAGCATAATTTGTCTTTAACATTTAATAACAAACAAGGACAAAATGATTCTAAGGACGTTGTGAATCGGATTCGGCAGCCTAGAAATTTCGTATCAATGTCTTAAAAGCGTATGAATGTTTGTTGTGTAGAAATTTGTAGAATGTACGTCGTTCCCTGTAATACATAACGCGAGATATTTTCACGAATGACTTCTGCATGGTGTCAATTGGCTAGGAAGCGATTGCCGAGTATTAAATAAACTGCAATCGTTTAGAAAATCTTGTCGCTGAATCATTCAATTAAGCTCATTACTAACTGCCAGACTGCAACCGCATTCTTCAGACGTGGTGTGGCACGCTCAGGTTTTTCCGCGCTGCAAAAATCGCGCCGAGCTAATCATGGTGAATAATATTGGTGGTCACTTTAACGCGATTTAAGTCAAAGCGTAACGTATTAGGAGAATGTGTGACGCATATGTAGGAAAATATTTTGTTGTGTTTAAAAAAAATTAATGTAACGAAAAAAAAGTGAAAATGAAATAATATTTTGAAATCTTATAAATATATATGTCGCTATCAAATCAACTACGATTCTAATAAAACAAAAATAGGAGTAGAAACTTACGTCACAAGTACAAACTGCACAAGTGTCGAATCCTGCTGGTGGCAGATATGGATGCCAGGATGATCCCGCAAGATGATATTGTCCGGCTAACGTACAACCTCTCGTAGCATTAGTTTCGGCACTCATTGGATCTGAATAAATTATTAACGAAACATTAAACATGTCGATATAATATCGCATTTAGGAGTAACTTTATCAAACAACTTTACCAAATACAATTTATCATTCGAGCGTTTTAGGCGATATTTAACTTATCTCTTTTGCAATTCTGCTACATAAATTTATGCAAGTTATGTTTTATGTTCCGTTCTGTCCTTCTCTTACGTAGATATTCTCGTTTTGTATAAAAAAAAAAAAAATTATTTCCAGTTTCAATAAATAAATAAATCCCTTTACCTGCGCATATCGGGCAGCAATGACCAGTCGGCGGTTGCTTGAGTTGCTTTCCCAACCCGCAAGAAACTGTCGGACAGGGTACCGTGTCGCATTGCGCCAAGCCGCGATAGCAATGACACATCGAACAGGGATCCGAGTTCGAGGTCCATTGCGTGCCTTCCTCGTAGAATCTGGTCTCGTGGAAACACGCACCAGTCTCGATATCCGACCTGGGTGGCTGCAGATTATACGCCACCACAGAGGTAACGTCGTTGTCGGCATAGTGTGGCAGACAACTGAACGGTGCTCTCGCCTTGAAAGGGGCCTTCAGAATGTGCGTGACCTGCTTGTCTGTCACTTCGAGGAAACCGATACCCGACTCGATCCTATAGAGTTCCAACGATGACAGTCCGGTGACCGAACCTTCGAGAGAGTATCCCGTGAATTCTTCGAGAAGTCTTCTAGCGACAGGAGCTCCCTGCGCTAGCATTGGCATCGTTTCTAAATATAAACGGAACGTCCGCGGTTCTTGGGAGGAGGGCGGGAAACCAGCGAGTTCTAGCTCATAGTGTAAAGAACAATCTAAATCCACCGCGGTCCATATCAAACCGACCGGTCCAGGATACGTTGGCTCCTTGGTCAATCTTCGTAGTAATACAGGTGCGGCCGTATCCCTAGCATCCGCTACGGGTCTCTCTAAAAGTCTACCGCGTAACATGGAGCCGACGTGGCTGGCAGCGACTATAGAAAGTTCCTCATTGAATAGTGGCTGCAATAGTCTGGGTCCAGGCCGGTCTAAGGAACCGTTCGCGAGAGAGCCGCCGATCAACGAAGGTGTCAGATCTTCGAGTTCCATTCTCCGTTTCCCGCCCTCATCCACCAACGTCACCAAAGGGCTCTCTTCCTCAAGTCCTATCAATTGCACTCCGTAGCGTAGCGCACCGACACGATCCAAAAAGACCCAAGCCAATCCGGATGCCACGGACGGTGTTTCCGACAGCAGCAACGTTTGATACATGTCGCAGGTTGCACGTGAACCTATCATGCCGATCACTCGAAGAGCCTGCGGATCTTTGCGAGACATTATACTGATCAACAATTTGCCTCGAGTCAAAAGACGAAGATCGGTTCCGGAAAGTGCGCTACGGACTTCTCCGTAATTCAGCTCATTTGACGGCTTTCTCACTATTATCTCTTCGCGAAGGACTACGTGATCCTTCTCGTGATGCTCCAGCTGAACAACTAACGGAACATCGGCCATGTCGTTCGGCAGGAAGAGACCGTTGAAGATGAGGGACACGTGAATCGACGGCGCTGACGCGGATGAAGCGGACACAATCGCCGTTGCGCCCGCGCCGGACATCAACGACCGGTCGACGCCCATCGCTGGTTCCAAGAGTGCGGAGAACTGCTCGGTCGACAGAGCGCGGTAACGCGACAACTGGCCTGTCAAGCTCGATGAAGGCTCCCAGAGGAAGGACACGTGTAGCCGTTCTTCACGTAGCAACTTGCGATAGTCGCGTGGCACGCGTCTCCACACGCCGCAAAGCTTGCCAGTGGTGTTCTGATAAGCACCACCAACCGGATCAATCACCTGCTCCTCGAGAATATTGCCGGAACCGTCGACGAATTGTATGCTACGCGGTCGGGGCGTCGACGCGGACAAATAGAACGCGTAGTAGATATTCTTACGGTGAAACGTGAAACGACCGGTCGCTAGATAGTTGTACGCGCTGTTGTAAACTGACGTCGGATTCGGTTCATCGCGACGTAGAGACTGCGACGTTCTGCCCGTTAACAGGGTGCCGAAATCTGTAATTAACGAAGATCGTTTAATTCTAGTCGATATTTGTATTTCGCAGATCCAAGTGATCCATCAGACATTTTTTTAATTGCGTCGTGAAAAATTATTTATAACAAATGTTTTTCACAATTTTAATCTTATTCCTCGGATTTCGAACTTCAAAATGAAAAAAAATCAATTACGTCAACTATAACAAAGTAACAAAGATACATTAATTTAAAGGTTTGTGGATCTGCAATGCTAGTTAAAGCGACTATCAATCAGCTTTAAGAAAAATGCCATATATTTCACAAATATTCATGATCGCGAGCAAATTGATAACTAACGTTATTGGAGACCGAGTCTTTGAGTTTCTGATACCGTTTGTCGAGCAAAGAAAAATGATTTATAGATATATATATATATATCTCCACATGCGTATCAAACTTAAAAAAAAAAGTGCAAAAATCTTACGTTTCAGGCTTCGCTCCTCTTCCTCCGAAGTCAATTGCACTGGCAGATCCTGCGCTATGTCTGCGTCTGCAACAAAAGATTTATTCCGTCGTAAACGCGGGTATTTGACCGCTCGATTGTACAATCTTTCCGGTCGTTCAACGCACAGTAATTTACGTTCGCGAAAAAGAGCAATTACGAAACTCCTTAATATTATAAGATTATTAAAAGTTTTCTCAGTCAATTTTCACAATTTGCGCTATTTGTTCCATTTAAAAAAACTGGATGAATTTTATGTTAATAATTCGTAGAATATATTAGAATAATAACAAAAGGATATCCTTGAGAGGGCATGTAAATTATACTATACGTCGGAATTAATACGACGTAACTCACGCGGGATATAAAGCCAAATGTATTGTACATTCTACAGGGACTCTCTCTTAGGAGGATAAAACTCTCTTCGCGCGCAGGAGAATGGCGATTGGCGAGTCCTTTGCACTTTGCATCGAGCATCGAGCATCGAGCGCATAAAGTGACGGTGGTTTCTCCCCTATCCACCATTCCCACCATTCCCACCATTCCCCGAGCGTTTCTCCTTCGAGACGGGCGTAAAAATAAAAATAACCGGTCGATCGTTGATCGTCGATCGTCGATCCCCGATCCCCATTGAGTCGCCGATTCAGCGGCCGGTGGTGGCACTGGTGGCATGTGCACCGACCATAAAGTATGCCTGCGCGCGGTAGGAAAAGAGTCGGCTGGCGCCAACCGCCGCTACTTTGAATACTACTTTTATGGCGCATGCCGCGCCGGTTCAGCGCCACGGAGACGTTAATTGCCGCGCGCAAAACGTACAGCACGCCCGAGCACGCCTGAGCACGCCTCACCCGACGGCCGAGTGCCGACCAGTTACTAACTAAACCGTTTCCGCCTGCCTAATCGGATCTATGACGATCGATGGCCGCCGCTCTGTCGCGCCATTAATATCAGAGAAAGACGGATGTGACCGATAATACGGTTAATTACGACGATTAATTAGACTCACCTATTTTTTGTTTTTTTTTTTTTTGTGCATTTTCCCCTTTCCATTTTCGTTTCGCGAATAGGTTGGCTTGTCCATCTTTCCCTTTTTTCCCTTTCTCGTTTGCCATCTCGAGCTTTGTTTGAAATTGTTGAAATTCTTTCGCGATCTTTGCGACAATAGTGACGTGAATTCACAAGTGTACGATGTTGCGTTTCACTTTTTCGCGACCAGAAAGATAACGCGCGTCATCTAACAAATATGTTGGCGGTTGTACTATCGAAAGTCGCCACCTTAGGCACAAACCACCGTTTCGGATCGAAAGACGACCATTACTCAGGATTAAGAATCGTTCAAGGAGAGAGATATAAATGTGTCACGAACTTTGGACGAACGGCGGAGCGGAGATCTCGCGGATAATCTCGCTCGTAAAGCTGTATTCTTGCGCTCTACTAGAACTCTTATTTCTTTGTCTCGCTTTCACTCTTTTTATTTCCAGCATAATCTGATACGAGAGTCCGAGACCGTTTCGTTTCATCTTCTGACTCCAGACGCCTATACGATATCTAATTTGCTTCTTACGTTGTCGAGAGGAGGCCGAGAAGAGACGAGACCGACTTTCGGTCGTCCATCACGACCGAGACGAGAACCGAATGAGAATCGATGCGACGATCCAATCGACGGGCTCAAGGGTCGCAGTTATGTTTCCTCGTGGAGCGTAAAAGGCAGGCGTTGCTAATTGCGGTCAGTTTCACCTTTCATCAGTAGGGGGCAACGAGCCCCTATCAGACAGACAACGACGACGGCTGACGACAATGATTATTATGACGAGCGTATAGGGCGCGTATAGGCGAGTCGTGGAGAAAATAAACTTTAATGCGCATGTGATATTGATGCGCGAATAAACGATTCTATGAGAATAAACGAGCGACGCGGGAGTGGCGCAATTGGCGTCGAAAGAGCGGTGCGATTATCAAAAATGATTCGCTCCGTCCTCGTCGCTCCGTCGTCGTCGATCCCCTCGGATGGCACGGACGGCAGAATTGTGGCGACAACGAGCGCTTTATCAAAAGTGTCATATTAACCTAATTGATAATATGCGCGCCTCTCCCGTTGCATCGGCAATAGCCACGCGATAAGCAATCGTAAAAAATTTAACGAAACGACGACCCCGTCTCTGTTTACAGGCATTCGGGACCAATCGAAAGAAACGACTCGAACGTACGTGTACAAATGACGCAGGATAAAATAAAATGAAAGAAAAAGAATAGAAAAGAAAAGATTTACGCTCATTCCTGTGTATCTCGCCGCACCGCGCCGCGCCCCGCGGTCGGTTCCACTGAACGGATCTTCGCTTCCACTGCCGCGATCACTCTTCCATCTTCCATCTCTATCTTCCTTCTGCCCGTCCCGTCCGCCCATCTATTCTTATTCCCATCGCGCGCTTTATGCCCGATCATTACGTATGCTAATATTTACATTTAGATTGCACGGCTTAATCGAAGTGACGCCATGCGGTAATATAGCCGGCGCCATGGCGCTAAACCGTGGCGTCCGTCTCCCCGTCCCCGTCCCCGTCCCCGTCCCCGTCCCCGATCCCTCTCGCTCCTCTCCTCAGTCCTCTTCCACCGATTACAAACTCGAGTTCACTCTCAAGAGAACGCGATCGGTCAATCTTCCCCACGCTAATCTTTCCTCTCTCTCTGTCTCTCTTTTTTCTCTTCCACATCCGTCCCTTTTTTCCTCTTCACCGCTAGACAAACCATTTCGCCCCGATTTCTCCTTTCCTCCCCCTCGTATATCTACATAGAAGGGATACGTTGTTATCGACATTTCCGAAAGTACGTAAGCATACAGCGGTCACCGATTAGAAGGTCGTTATTCTAACGTCCGCGCGGAGATTTGTCACGGGTCAATTTGCAATTTCCTTGAATAAACAATTTACGCGCGATAAATATGAAGCGCAAAGCGCAAAAGCGTAAAGGAGATAGTATCGCTATTCGAAGCGAAGCGGTTTCGTACCAATTCGCGCTCATTACCGTCGCGCTGGAATTCGCGCACGCGAGTCTTATCTGGTAGCCTTATCAATAACGCGGGAGATACATATACTACTTTCACTGCATTGCCGGCATGGGCCAAATTCTTCGAGAGTCCACCGCGGAGGGCAACGCACGTTCTATTTCACCTCACGGAGATCCGCGTATATCGCGCTAGTCGTAATATGCCCGATCAATAGAAAAATTTGTAATTCAGCTCCAAATTGTATTCATTCAAAATTTTGAATTTTCAAAATATTTATTCATAACAAATTATGAATATTTAACGAGTATTCATATTCATTCAAACAAAATATAAATTAAACTTAAACTGAAAAAGAAAGTTCCAATGAGCAATCGTTACCTCTTAATTGGTACTTTGATGGCTTTAAGTAAAAAATATGAATTTTATTTATTTTGGTCATTATAATGTTGAAATTTTATAAAAAAAACTTGGAAATTTTGAAAAATATTTTAGAAAGATATACATTTTTTATTTATAAATCTATCTATTTGATAGAGCGCCATATATATTTCGATATAATTCCGGTTACATGACAGTAACGTTATAAATATTTTATAGGATATCTTGGGCGCGACGTTTATTATAGTCTGTGGACCATACATTCCGAGATATATTATTTATTCTCAATAGAAATGCCTTTGTTTAATCTATAGGTTAAACAAAGACGCCCATCGTATAAGTCGCGGACTAAAAACACGTAGCGGTGTAATCGCGTAGCCATTGTTTTTATAGATTTCTGTTTTCTCTTGTAGGCTTGCAAGCTATGTGCAGATAATAAAGAGTAAAAGTGAATACGAAATGAAAATATTTGCAATCATAAAATATATTTTAAAAATACTCATTTAAATGGAATGAAAAAATATTTATTCATTTCTTAACGAATAAAAAAGAAATGTATGTTCGAATGAGTATTTTCATTCATTTTTTATTCGTTTATTCAAATATTAGGTGTATTCATCGGATACACTAACCAGTCGCAATAGAATGCGGATGAAGTAAATCGCATAGATTAAGAGAATCATAGGATACTCCCAATCTCCTTTATAGATAATATATCGAGGGAAGAACAATATAGATCAATATATTGTATGTATGTATATGTATAGTAGCAATTAAGATTGCGCAAAAATTTTATCTCGGGTTATCTCATCGTTCCCGCGCTCTTGACGGCCGGAAAAAAGAGATTAACATTAACCGGAAATAATCGCAGCGAGGTGAAAAATAATACGGACACGTGTTACGTAACTTACTGAAGTCACCTGGACAGGATTTGCAGCATCGTCCCGAGAGTAGAACTGGTTCGTCACACGTGAGTTTCGGACATTCGTTCTTGATATTGCGGCATTGAACTCTCGCGATGATCCGCCGTTTCTTTTGCACCTAAAAGTAAAAGACATATGCTGGTAAAAATAAGAACGAACTGTACGTTATATTATGATTATTTCGAAATTTTCGATTATTTCCCGCCCTTACTTCATCTTTATACCTGCTTTCCTCGCGGTAAGTCTGAGACAAAATTGAAAAAAGAAAAAAGACGATAGAAATAGGAAATAACAGATTTTTTATTTGCCTGGACTTGCCAGAATACGCGGTTTCTGAGTAAGTTGAAACTTATTATTCCCTGTGTTTTCCAATTGCGTCTCAGACTTAATTTTTGGTCGCCTTCCGGCATGACAATGGAAAGGAATGTTTACGAGGCGAAGGCAGCGCGGCAATGCGACGCAGTTACTAAAAGTGCGGCCGCGAGTCGCGTGGTTCCAGTTACGGAGAAGAATTAAGTCGGTGGTTTTATAGAGCGGCGCGCGCGCACAGCATTCCTGAAGCGTGAAACGACGCACGTTCGACGCGATCGACTCGACACTCGACAACGAGAGAAAATGGTATAAGCAGGGGTCCGATATCGTGTATCGCAGGACTTGATGAAAATTAAACAAGAATAAAATAGAATTATATAGAATATTTATAACTTTTCTAGGGGGGGCCAACACCCCCCTAGTGATTTTTATAATTTTCACCTCCGCTGTGAGTATATAACGATACGTAAAATTGCCAAAGGTGATCATTTGAAAGTTCGCATCGCGTGGTGAGCCGATACTCGATGGGTATCCATCCGTCCGACAAGACTTTAGGTGAAGAGACATGGCTTCTTCTCTCTCGCAGCGACGTGTGATTCACGCGACGCGTCTGCTTCTTCCACCAAGCAAGACCGCGACCTATCAATAGCTCCTCATGTACACTGAAGAGGGACTGTCATTCCTCCGAAGTCTAAAAATAGAGGCGCTCTCGCGCTCTTCGTCCACGAGCCGAACATAACAGCACGCCGCCGCGCCGCAGCGTCTCCCGTCTTCTCTTCCGTCTCGATTCCATCCATCTTTTCGGTCGATCGTAATATTTTCGAAGAAAGAACAATTTTAAATCGCAAGAGAGTATCGCGCGCAGCTATCGAAGCGTCCGCGCTTCGATAAAATTTCACTTGAAACTCAATGGAATCTTCAACGACTTTACGCGTCCTTTTCGTTCAATTGCTTCGGTCAAAAATGTTTTATCACCTTGATCATAATCATACCTGTTATTGCCACGTTACGAGAAAGATTAGAACTCCGCGGCCTCTAATGATCTGACCGTACTGGCGACTTTAATGGCGTCGTACGTAATGATCGTACACCACTCCTTCTGTACGATCGTATAATTAATTTTCTCTTCTCGGTAAACTCATCAGATAGCGTCTCATTAGCATTTACACCGATTACTTATCGCGTGTTTTATCGTCGTTTAGTGCACACATAAATTCCGCAACATTTCCACATTAAGATTTAACGATTCGGCGCGCTCGAAATTCTCATAACGACCGGATGGCGGACTCGCGATCAACAGCGATTAAAACATAGTCAAGAGTTGATCCAAATACCTTTCATTTAACGTACGAATGCACTTCAAAATATACGAATGCAAAATTTTCTATAGAAAAAAAAAATATATATATATATATATATATATATTGAGAAAAAATTGTTAACTAAATTAATTTAGTTCATCTTTATACGTGTATATTTTAATATATTAAGTATATCATATTTAATCTAAATACATTCTCCAATGAAAGGAATAAAAAACGAATTAAATTAATTTAGTCAAGTTAACAATTTTTTTTCTCAGTGTAGCCTTTTTTCGCCAGAAATGTTAGACTTTAAAACACAGTCGATTTTTCATTGTGAACATTCTGATAGATAATATCTGTAATAAATAAAATACAATCCAACTTCATAGTAAAAACTTAATGTGTTGTACAAAGCTTTCACATAGGGCATATAAGAATTTTTTCAAATTTTTATACAATCCGGAATAATATAAAAATCTGCACTGACGTTCAAAGAACCAAAATAAAGGATGAAAATTTCACATTGCCGATAGAACGGATAGAAATGATATATTCAAGAATATAAAATATCTCAGGTGAGAATGTTATTACGCGGAATTTCTTTACGCGTGTATTAAACAGCGATAAGGCGTGAAAAAAAAAATTGGCGAATGCTAATGTGAAATATACTGCGCGAGGAAAGAAAGTTACAAGTGCACATCGCAAGAAGCGCTACAGTCGTGCGACCGTAATGCGCGTAACAAATGTTTTCTCGGCGTATTTACAAACGATGTAACACCCGCCCAACACGAATATTAATATGATTACATCACAGGCTGAGCAATAGCGTGTCATTATTGCACGTAAGAATTCGGTGTTACGCATCGAGATTCGTTGCGCTGTCACGGAGTCGGGAAGAAGGGGAGGAGAGAGGAGGGGGGGGGGGAAGAAAAGGTATGCGTACAATCGGAATATAAATGACAATTATTGCGCGATCTCGAATAAATATGTAAGTGATCCGTGCGTATTTCGTGACGCACGTCGGCGAGCCAACTGCCGTCGAATCACTCGAACCTGCGCCTCGCTCGCCGAGTGACGTTTCGGATTCGGCCTCTCGACATTCGATACGTCAACCTTTGTGTCAATAGCATGGCATTTATAGGCCCAACAGTAAGTTAAATTATACCTGCGCCGCGCGCAACAAACCAGAGGACACCCGGCACCGTAATCGCAAGAATGTACGAACCCGCTGCGCTCGCCGCAGCGTTGAATTTATCCCGCGACAGAAATTTATCCTCTCTCCATTTTATAACGCTCAAACATACCATGACTCGGTAAACATCGATGTGACTTGAATTTAAAAAAGGAGAAAAAAAAAAATTACGACGTCGTGAACGTAAAGTCGTAATAAGTACCTAGGACGTGATTATAGCATGTTTCCTGACAATAAATTCGAAGGCAAAGGATAGAGAGAGGGCGCTCGTTGCTCTTTATTCATATATGTTAATAAATGCTGGCGTGGTACCGATTGTTTACTAAACACTACGTACACGCCGAACGCTGCACGCGTGACATACGACATATTTTTTAATATAACGGGCTGTAACGAGTTAGGTATTTTTTTTTTCTTTAATAGAAATAAAAAGGATTATAATACACACGTACCGGTATGCACTCGCATTTGATGCAATACATGACTCCGAAGGGAGGTCCCAAGTCCGCGAACCATGTCGAGCCCAATTCGCGAATCTGCTTGCCGAAAGTGCATTCTGAAAAGAAAGGAAACATCATCGCGTCGTTATCAATATCGTCGTCAGTATTACCATATTACCGTAAAGTAACATTAGCAATGCAAATATAAACATCATCTTATCCGATTTATGATTTCTCATCTTATCGATTACTGATAACTACGCTACAAAGATTGTATTTCGCGGACATCGAGAAGACATTGGCTGAAACGTTCAGCAGAAAAAGCGAAAATATTTTCTATTTTGAGGATTCTTTAATAAAAAAAGGAACGGAATTTTTATTTACCTGCAATATTACAACATGCCAAGAAGAAAACTTGATTCGCTCTTTTTCTTATCTTATCCTCACATATATATCATGTAAAATTCTTTAATACGATTGGTTTATACATTTAGATCCGGTGAGAGAAACTAAGAATAAAAAGCAATCGTATTAAAAAATCTTACCACAGTTGCAAAGCTGCTTTTCCTGTTGAAAGTAGCTATTATGGTCATATAAAAAAAAAAGATATATTTAAAACGCAAAACACGGCTCATCGCACTGACGCACTTCCGCTGTCATCATCGATGAATGAGACGCAATTTGATGCGAGTATAACGTAACACGCTCGGTATGTACATACATTGATCCGCGTGCATATTCATTCGCATTCACCGATATTATGCGTCGCGCGTTCATTCAAACCGTCGCGTCGCGTCGTAGAGACATCACCGAGACGCGATGATCGACGCATCAGTCATTCTCGATGTAAAACTCGGGCTCTTGTTTGCAAATTACAAACGTATCGTGTGAACCAAAAAAACCAGAAAAAAAATTTGCTATCAACGCAAAAGCAATTACAAAATTTATTTATCAAATTTGTTTGCCGTTTATAGCAAATACATTTGCATATTTGACAACTATTTTATATTTGTTGCAAATAATTTTCCGATCTTTATATTTGTCAGCTGAATTTGCTGTCATGGCATAGGATTAGCGTTCATAACAAATTTTTTCCTCTCTGTGCAGCTGGTCGATGCCGGTCGATGACAAAACGGACGAGTCTCTTCGGTTCGTCGCTTCGAATCCGGATTGCCGGATTAGTTTTACATCGTAAAACGTAAATCTCAAAAAGAGAAGAGATAAAGACGAGACCGTTATCTTTTACAATAAACTAGCGATAGCCGGTTAGTAGCAAAACACGTAATAATACGCTCCATTAAATCGATAACAATATCTTTTTCTTAAGTTTTTTTTAACTTGATATTTCATTAGATTCGTCTTCATTCGCTAGGAAGAAAAGGAAAGAGTAAGATTGCAAGCTGCTATTAGCAGTATAATTATTTTCCGTCAGTTATCCTTTCTTTTCCACGTGTAAAAATAAAGGCGGGCGTGGAAGCGCCCGAGAATAACACGATGAGATTACAGTACCGCCTTTTTTCTTTCCACAGTTCTAGGCGCAATCCAAAATCGACGCTCGAGACACCAGCCAAAAGGTTGCAACACTTTTTTTCTATGGATTTCGGAACTCAGCCTTGTTCATAGAGCGATAGAACGTAAATAGTCCAGATCCATAAGTAAGAACCAATCGCTCGGTGAGCGAATTACATTTCAAAACTTTCAAAAAAAAAAGTGTATGGGTTGATGAATGTATATATATATATCTCTCTCTCTTAATATTATAAAAAAAAAATTGACAATTATTTCTTACCCGAGAAAAATGTTCCGATTAAACCAACAAAAGAATTCAACAAGAATAGTATTTTGGTGAGACCATGTACAATAGAATTTCTGGTTACATCTCTTTTGTTTCCATCAGTGTATATGTCTTTTAAAAAGATGAAACAATCTTTGCCTTATATTATTGCTCTAATATAAGTAAAAAAATAAATATTTACTATTTGCGCGTGCGCGTGTGTGTGTGTGTGTGTAAATAAGGAAGAAACAAAGAGATAGACAATGTTGTGGAAAAATATATTGGCGGAATTTTCATGATCATACCGCTCTAAACTATTCAAAAACTATTCATCGCAATGAGAGAGAGAGAGAGAGAGAGAGAGAGAACTCGGTCACGTGTGAGTTAGAGAAAGGGAAATGGAGAGAGGCCCGTTTTGCACGAGGTCATTGCACTGCGTGCGCTAAGTTGTTCTAAGCGCAAAGTCGCGGCCCTAAGTAACTAGGAGTCCGAGAGAGCCACGACACAAGCTACCGCATCGAAAATATGCGAGTCACGCGGCATAGCGTGGTAAGGTGAAGCGTATTAGGTCTCTTTTCTTTCTCTCTCTCTCTCTCTCTCCTCAATAATGATGACTCCTTCGGCTTTTCCTCCGTTTCTCTCATCATCCGGGGTGGCTTTCTCGGACGACGCGACACGCTTCTCCGCGTCCATGCGTGTTAATATAAATCGAGTTTTCTCGACAAGTGCAACCACTTTCAGCGATCGTTATTATCGCGACTTTGTATACGAATGATCGTGACTTAACGCGCGGAGCTCGAGTTGAGAATTAATAACGTTTCGCGCGACGTACTCGCAACTCATCCGCGCGTATACGGCTCTTGCCAGTTGCCAGCGGGCAAAATAAATTTCTCCCCTTTGTCCACACATGCGTGTCTGTGCACGTGCGTATGTGCACGAGGGTGAACCGAAGAAACGTAAATTCTAATCAACGGCAAAGCTTAAAGCGGTCGTTAGACTATCAATATTATTGCACAATATTTGGATATTGCGCAATATTGTTGATCGTCTGGAGAGACTGTATTACAGTCTCTAAATTATTTGTTTTGAATCGTTTAAATATACTGAAAAAAATTGAGTTGAGTAAAATAATTTCAATCAAATATTCGGTTAGTATAATCAAAATATAATTTTGATAAAATTAATAAATAATAATAAGGCTCTGTAAGTATAAAACAATGT